CATCTCCCCTGTGAGGAGTGGCTACAAGAACTGGGACAGTTCAGCTTGTATAAAAGGTAAGTGAAGACACAATAGATGTGTTTAAAATTATGTATAGAGGGGAGAAAATTGAGAGAGAAATGCTTTTCTCCGTTTCCACTCAAACCTGGAGTCATCCCATGAAGCTGACTGGGGGAAGTTTAGGACAACCCAGAAGTATTTCTTCACACAACATAGTTGAACTATGGAGTTTGTGGCCACAGGAAGTGGTGTTGGCTGCCAATCTGGATGGCTTTAAAAAGGAACTGGGCAGATTCATGAGGGAGGAGGCTATCAGTGGCTACTAGCCTTGCTGGCTGTGTGCTGCCTCATTTGCCAGAGGCAGCATGCTTGCATACCCCAGTTGCTGAGGAGCTTGGGCAGGAGGAGGTCTTGCACCCATCCAGCTTGAAGGAGCCTGTGGGCAGCTGGCTTGCCACCATGTGTATGGTGTGCTGGACTAGATAGATCTTTGGTTTGATCCAGAATGATTTATGTTCTTATGGGCATGTATAGAGGGCTATTTGTGAGAAAACGGTATGAATTTGGTTTGATTGTATAGTCTCAGTATGCCAATGTCTTTCATAAAGATGAAGACGTTCTTTCCATCTTACAACTGTAGACCTGGAAGGAGATAGCCCTTAGATGGCGATCTATTAGTGATGAAGTGGATTCTTTTCTGAAGTACTACACACATTTCCTGCTGCATGTAGTATCAGTTATACTGGGACACAGAAAGGCAATGAAGCAGAATAATGCTATACTTCCGTTCAAGAGCACTGCATGAGAGTTGGATTTGTAATAACAACTTCAAATGGATTTTATGAGTCTCTTGTTACTCATAAAAATCCACCCTGGTTACTGCGGTTCACCCAAGGTTAAACTGCTGGGAAAGTACATGGACTCATGATGTCATATCATCAACAAGTGATATGTTGTTTGTCTCATAACTAATGGAAGCACATAATGTTTAACAGTTCAACTTTCAGCATTATGCACAAGCTTGCCTTATGTGCAGAGGTGGCATGAATGGCAACAGTGATATTGAAAAGGAACAAAAACAAAACATTTGTGCCATAAAAGGAAGTGGAAAGGGTCAATTGGAGCTTTTTCCAGAGGTGCCAACAAACAAACAGACAAACGTTTGCTAAAGCTGTCAGATTGTTTTCTTCAACCATATTTATTACATTTGTATCCCTAATTTTTGCAAGTGTCTTGGGGTGCTGTACATGGTACTTCCCCCTCTGTTCAGTTTTACATTCACGACTCCATGAATTAAGTTATGCTGAAAGCTATGATAGCCCGAGTTCACTCAATAAGCTCACTGGCTTTTTGAATCTAGGTCTTTCCTGGTCCTATTCTGATATGCTAACACTACACTGTATCCATGTATCTCTAAGCACCGCTTGTATGTTGGCCATGAAGTTCCATCACAGGTTAGAGGACATCAGTTATGGTATAACTCCGGAAAAACAAAATGAACAGGATCCCCAGTGTGGCTTGTTTGTGAAAACCACCCATAATGAAAAAATGGCTCTGGGTTTTGAAGTCATGCTAAGCTAACCTGCAATCACCCATAACAACAGTCCATCATGGCTTAGGGTGATATGTGAACCCAATCAATGTTACAAAGAGCTTTCTAGTTTTTTATTCAATAACTACATGGCACTCTGCAAGTATGTTACTGCTCAAAGCAAATACCAGATAAAACCATTTAAAGAAAAATTGAACCACAGATTTATACTTAATGCAAAACATCCGGCCATATCAAAAGAACTAAAAATTAGTTTCTTGCAGTAAAGCTATGACATGAATAGCCCTATGAATTAGGACTTCATCTGCAATTTGAAGTTAAAACCGTTTAAAACTTGCAGATGCAATCTTCATTTTCTAGTTAGAGTGCCAGTTAACCATTTTGATAACATGGAACGTTTTATATAGCCAGGATTTTTTTCATCAATAGAACCATTACCTTGCAGATTACCATGAGGCTTTGCCAAATGCGCCAAACCTTTCCTCCAATTCAAGTAAGATTGCACTGCTATAAGCCTAATATTGTCAAAGGATAAGGCTCTCCCTAAGGAGATGCACACAGTTGCCAGAAGAACCTCAGCTGCTTCTACAACTTAATCCAATGAAGTCTTGCACTTTATGCCCATGCAGAGAAGTAGACTGTTGACTTTGCAGTGTGTGTGGCTGTGCCTTATCATACACTGAATGCAGTCCCTAGTTGGTTTTTGCTTTCCCAGAATCCTACATGAAGTAGAATCAACACAAACCATATGACCACCTTTGTACTGATTATTCTCTTGTCCCACCAGACAAGCTGCCCATCTCTTTGTTGTTTTGGTACACTTGCAGAGATGCAAAAGTTTTCCTCCTTGACTTTGACAAAATGTGAGCAGTTCTGCTATTAGCAATGTAATCATTTTGTTTCACAATTGCTCACAGCATCCTGTTATTTGTTATTAATCAAGAGTCTGTAGGATCTTGGAATAGTCAAACATAGCATTCATATCACAAAAATATTTTATTCAAAACAAATGGAAAGTATTAAACACAACCGGTGTCTGGTGAAGTTAAGACTTCTTAACTTCTTAAGGCTAAGAGATTAAATGATTCTTAAGTTAAACATCTGAGTGCTTCCCAGAATGGGAGATAATGAACTTTAAACCTTTAAGTAACTTACTAGGAAGGACAACTAAAAAAGATCTGAGATTTGGAAGTGGTTGAAGAAGCTGAGAAGTCTAATACCCCTATACTGAAGACTCTGAAGTACATGAGAAACAGACATAAATGCAGAGCTCCTGGGGTTTCCTTATTCACTTTGATAGGGGCTAACATTCCTACCTTGTGGGGGTAGGTAATTATCAGCAATATCCAAAAGCTTAGGAAGAGATGTAAACTCTGATTTTATCATCCTAATTAAAGCAACCCAGTTAGCAACAAAAAGCTAGGCCAGGAAAGGAAAAATATGATTGTTTCTGATCTTGATAGGAAAAAACTTAGAGACCATCCTGTAAACCAGGGGTTTCCCACCTGGAGATGGCATTTCAGGGGCTGTGACAAAGAGGATACATTAAAAATTATCCCAATAATAAAATTATTATTTTATTTGCATTTGGATTCAGTTTTCTGTCAATCAAGAAAAACTCTAAGAATCACACTAACCCACAGGCAGACGTGCAGATCACAATCAGCAAGAAAGTTCCATGTTTTGACAAAATCATGAATGAGAACCAGAAACAAAGAAGTCATTGAATTTTATGTTCATATTTGGGATTGATTTTACTTACATTTTTTTCTAATCACTCAATTTATATTTCACTCAATTTTATGCACTGAGTTAAAAGCTTACTTTTTTAGTTCTATTTGTTCACCCACAGTACTGTATGTAGTTCAATTTGTGGTTAAAAAATTACACATTTGACTGCTTCATCTTCAGATGTTATACTACTTTTGTAGGTGGTGCAAACATAATCCTTTTCTAGTGGGGCAGGGCATAGAAAAGGTTGGGAAACACTGCTGTAAACCAACCTACCCCAGCCTGGTGGGAGTAGCAGTTATACATTTGAGAGCACAAGGTTGGGGACCCGAGACCTATTGGGTCCAATACTGTTGGCCTTGTATGCTGTCTAAAAGTTACTAAAAATTGATCGTATTATCCTGGATTCTCTTGCATCACTTCATCCATGGTAAAAAGGTAAAAGCATATTTAGGTTCACCCATTTTTCTTTGCCTTTTTTTTTTAGCAGGATGCCTTGGTGTTTGTGTCTCTCCAGCAGACAGTTCTGGCATTCATATGCATTCTTCTTTGCTGTACCTAATACACATGAAGGTTGTGCATGTTCCTATCTCTATTAGAACACAGACCTGCCTGGGAAATCTTAACCATTCAGATTCTCTTTCAGTACACTTGTTTGCAGTATTTAAATGTGCCCCACAACTAAGCCAGATGCATCATATTTCATGAGAGCTTCTCAGCCAGTAAGACAGTCTGCCACTAGCCAACATGTTATTTTTCTAACCCCCGCTTCACTGGTATAACAAGTCATATTTTTAGCAATGTGAGAATCTTAATCGCTGAGCTCTAAGCCATTTGCAGCATGACCCACAGGCATCCAAGATCCGTATCAAAATCCATGTCATATCAAACTTAAGTAACTATTCATAAATATGACAATAGGACAGGAAGCCAATCTATGTCTTCCTAAGAGTTTAGTCTGTGGGAAGTAGCAAAGGGATATTTAATCAGTTACTGCCAGCAAGGAATCCAGGTAAAGCTGCAGACCAAAGAGGGGCATGCTAGGTGGAAAGAGAACCAATAAATACTGGGGGTGGGGAAGTCAGATTATGGTTTATTTTACTAGGGAAAACACTAGGAGTGCATAAAAGAATGTCTACGTATAATCAGCAATACAGGATGAGAACACATTCAATTACTGCATAAATACTAGAGTACACTGACCTCAGAAATCACACAGATCACTACTAGGCTTGTACAAGTGGGCACACATATGGAAAGCAATTATGATGATGTGCACCCAGGTATTTAAGCAGGAAGGGAAAAGAGGATGTAAGAAAGGTACTGGAATCCATCAAAGTCCAGTGTACAGTTGTATGAATGGAACAAGCGCTTGCACCACAGCACAGCACAGCGCTGAACGACAGCTTCTGCTCCCCCACGTCATTTCCCTTGCTTTCCCGTTTCCTAGCATGCATTTCAATGCTATCAGACATAGCTCCAAAAACAGCCGTAAGAAGCCTTCTGCACACAGTCCTCTGTGCATATGTCATCTCAGACATACAAAAGGCAGATATTACTAAAAAGTGAAAATAGCCATAAAGTGCAATATTGCTAGGATGCATTTCTAATCTACACATGTAGGAAACCAGCCACATATCTAGATGCATTTCCACACTCACCTTGTTTCAACATTTCACCATACTCCCCATAGAAACAATAAGTCACAGAGACTGAATTTACATAAAATTATCTCACTCCATTTTATTTAAGATTCTTTTCTCCAGTTAGTAAAAGAAAGATGTGTCTCTTTTTATACATATGTACAAGTTCAGTTATAAAAATAGACAGCACATTCAAAGAGGAAAAAAGGCTTGGCATTTTTCTCATTCCCTCTAAACACTGTATATACACATGTGAATCTGAGGGAGGCAGGGTAAAATCTTCATGATTTAACTTAAATATCCCCTTCCCCACCCAATTATTCCCTCCAAATCTGTTTTTAAAAAATCAATCTAACCGAACCCATTTCTGCTATTTTCAGGTGTGCAAATCAGAGGCAGAGTCAACAGGAAGCACTTGCTCTACACTGTGGGATGCCAGGCAAGGTGCGCGAGACTGAAAAATCCTTTGCCGCCTTAGCGAAGATCTTCACCTCATAACCTGGATCTCCCTTGAAAGGTGAAAATGCCCAGAAAGAAAATCCCACTTAATGTCATTGTGAAGGCAGGAGAACTGCCTCCCTCCTTCATCTCAGTGCAATGCAGACAGAGTTTGTGTGTGTGTGGGCATGTGTGTCTACCTCATGCCGAAGCAGAGGGTCCTTGTGCATTTAGAACAGAGCACCAGAACAAAGAGATGCACTACTTGCTTTGCTGCTCGCTAACGATTTCCACTAGCCGCACAGGTGTTTGCTACCGTGCCGGACCATCACAGTGGAGCAATCTTAACCTGCTGTGCATGGACACTGTTGAAAACCATGACGTGCTAAAGGAAAGAACACAGCAAGTGAATGGCTTGGAATGAAAGACACTGCTTTAGCTACAGACTGTATAGAAGCAGGGAACAGCACGTTCCCACTGCTCGTCTTTCGTAGCATGGTGAACAGTGGTACTGAAAACATTATCAGAAAGCACTTCTATGGCACGATGAGAAGAAAAGCAATGACATTTCCCCGTTTCAGATTCCTTCTTGTAAAAAATCTCACACAAAATGGCTTTTTACTCTAAAGTTTTAAAGATTCCCACATAAGCCAAATGCAAAAAAAAGTATTTAAAGCCCAATGCTATGAAAGTAAATGCAACTGAACCTTGGCATTGTGATGTTAAAGCTTCTTCCCACTCAGTGATACAGAGACAGCAGTGTCATTCTGAAAAGCTCTAATCTGTCCTAGTGTTGTTTGACCAACCGAACAGTACCTTAGTAGTTCAGAAGCACGATACTGACAAAAGATCCCTTCTAGGACACAGTGCAAAATTTCTCTCTCCTTTCCCCTGAAATCTGTTCTTCATGGTATCTCACCATTCATACACATTTAGAACCATTAAGTTTTTTCCACAGCTCCTTGAAAAGGCCCCTTAACCCAAAGGCTCCTCTGAATCTGCAGAGCATCCCCCAAAGTTTAGATGTTGATCTCCTTATTATAAGCATGGAGCTGAATTCCACATGAAACCTGAAAGACGAGGGGAGAGGGTGCTGGTGTGAATACGAACAAAAGGGGAGCTCGTGCAGCCATTCTTACATGGAAGCCGGATCTTTTCCGTGCATGATTTGTAGGATGCCAGAAAAAACTTAATGGAAATATTAAGCTCAAGCATCCCGAAGTCTCTGTCCCTCTTCCTCACAAATCTGCAAAGGTAATAACTCTGGGCTACACGAGAAAGTGCACACAGAACACCTCTTGCCCCAGTAGTGCAGTAATCTTTTCTTCACACCCACATATGGGATGGAAACAAGGCATCTGTATACCCTTTTGCTGGTAGGCGTGGGCTGCTTAGAAAACCAATATGAACAACACATAGGTTCCAGAGATTCAAAATTACTACCGCCCACCTGAGGTGTGGGCTCCTTTATATTGTTTTCGGATTAGGGTTTCTGGTGCCAAGGAACTTGTTAGTTTTAAGGTTTTGGAAGATCCACAAACACTATTTCCTTTGCTCATAGGAGAAGAGGTGCTTGATGGTCCAAAGTCTGCAAGTCCAGCAGGTCGGATGAGTGGAGTCTGAAGAGGGCTGCTCGAAGACATACCTGAGAATAACAAAAATGCAAGTCCTTTCTTAATAGGCCAAACTCAAAATATGGCTTTATAAATGAACACAAAATTAAAATTGTAACATCACTATGACCTTTAGTGATGTTAGCATATTTGGGAGAAGAGTTAAAAATCTATCCTGCCTTTTTACTTCAGGGACTGTCAAAGGCCTTTACATTGTATAGTCTAATTTTATGCTGTTTTAACTGTTACTTGTATTCTATTTCCATTGTATTTTATGCACTGCTGTAAACTGCCTGGAGAACTTTGGGTAGTAAAGGAATAAAATAAAAAAAATTCAAAGCACCAGGGAACTGAGCCCAGAGTTGTTGCTTAGACTGGCTCATGGGGCCTTTGCCCTGAATCTGCTTCCCAGAGATCCACATGTATTCCTGATCCCTATGTGTCCACTCAGTGTAATTTCCATGTATGGGGTGTTTTTAAATGGGGACTGCCATTAGGAAAAGGCTAAATATGCAAGTCTTTGCCCTTCCACTTAAGCTTAGGGGGAAAAAACAATTTGCTGCCAATGGGAGAAGGATTCCCCCCTAAATTTAATGGCCAATAGGAGGCAGGTATTAGCCACTCTCTTTTTAACCTAATTGCAAACTAATTGTAACTGAACAAGAACTACCAATTGAAGATCTGGGACAGGGTAGAAATTAATTGAAGAATTATTTCAGGGAGGATAGTTGAAAAATTAATAGGCTGGCTTTCCTTTCTCTGAAATTTAACTGAAGCCTAGTAATCTGTTGTAAATTTGCATATATAGATACAACTTAGCATATGCAATTAATGTAGATCTATGCCTTGTGATTCTGAGCCCTTGTTATAGTGAAAAGGAAGCATTTTTAACACAAAAAGCTATTTTTTAATTTAGTAACAAGGCTAATCACCATGTAATCTATAGGAAGGAATTTATTAGGAAATTAGTCCCACAAAGTGGGTGTCCCTTCTAATTGTAATTATATCAAGAAGAGCAAAACTATGGAATAGTGACTTCTACCTGATCAGTTCTTTAGAACTAGATGTGAACTTTCTACACAGGGAATCAACAACTGTGGGAGGGCTGGGGGCCATTTTTGTCCACCCCGATCCCTCTCTTGTGGGCCACACTGGGAGGACCTCTTTGCACGCAAGATTTGTCCATTCTAGACATATGGAACACCACGTTGTTCTTTTTTAAAAAACTATCCATTCCTATTCTGGTCTGCTGGAGGCTTTATGTGGCCTTGCACATGGCCTGCTCCTGTTTTACACTATTACGTGCACTGATTATGCAGCACAACTGAATTCAGTTTGCAGACTAAGCTGAATTACAGGATGCCTGAGAACCTGGAACTGGAAGCATGCAGTGTGCTCCACTCTACACAGACAGACTCTCATACCTTTAGACACATTGTACCCATAGGCTGCATAGGCGGCTGCAGAGGCGGCTGCTGCTCCCGCTTTGGCTCCTGCCATGGCAGCTGCACTTCCTGCTGTTGATTTCCGGCTCCGGCCTTTTCCTGTGTTTTTTGATCCACTGTTTGATCCTTTGGGGCGACCGCGGCTTCTACCTGAATGACCTCTCCCTGTGACAGGCATATCCTGTACTGAAATTCCTTCATGGAATGAATAAAGAAAATGCAGACATACTGAGTAGTGTATCACAAATGCTGTTTCTAGAATTTAGTTTAGTAAAAAGCACAATTTGTTTTGTTTTTATGACTGCCAAACTCATTCAAAATACATTTCCTAATGTATATGTCCATATCGAGGTATTTCATCAGATAGATAATCCCACATTTTCAGATAGACAGAAAAGTATGCAAAGATGAACATTCTCCCATCATTCCCATTTTGACATGTGGTGTCAGTCCTAAACACATGCTTGTTCTATACCTTGAAAAGACATGTCTGAGGATTAAAACATATGCCTTTGCTGAATTTACATATGCCTCAGCTAACTGTTTGAATGAACTCCTGGTTTCTTAGGGTACCATTGTTAATTTCTAATTCCTCATTGATTAACACACTGTAAATATTATACATCAGCATTTTAAAAGTCTAGTTAAAGATGCTCAGAGTTTTGGTTGACGATATGAATTTGTCCTGTATATAAGGAGAAAAAAGGCCTTATAAAGAATCAATTGAGGGCTGCAGTTCCTTTTGATTTGTCGATACACCAAAACTGTGGTGACTCAAAGCAACAATACAAAGCATTTTAGACATACGAATTATCTCTATTTTCTGGTAATACCTGAAAGATTCATCAAACAGAATGCTGAACAATTTGCCTGGATCAACAGTGCAGCACAGGCTAGAACTGAGTCAAATGTTATGTATAGACAATGTAGGTTAGTGGTTTGGATGTTGGTGATCAGGTTTGTAGTTCCCACTCGCGGGAGGCCTTTGGGCCAGAAATTGATTCTTAACCTAACCTACCTCACACGATTGTTGTGAGGGTTAAATGGAGATGAAGGAGCGTTTGCAGCCTTGGGTTCCTTGTCAAGGGAAAAAGGTAGATATAAATCTAATAAATAAGTCAAGGAGCTAACAGCGAGATTGCCATTTCTCTCTTGAAAACTCTTTATTTTCAATCCTTCCTGCCATTGACAGTGATGCTAAAGATAATGCTGCAGTCAAGAAATGAAGAGAAAGAGGAGCCGCTGAGGACCTTTCTACTACGTGTATCATGAAGAAGAAGAGAGATTTGATTCAAGTCACCCAGTAGGTTCATGGATTAGCTGAGATGTAAACTTGCAACTACCTAAATCACACCTCAAACTATACCACTTTACCAACTTCAGAATCTTATACTAAAACAAAAGCATTAAGAGTACAGTGAATGATCAAACTTGTCATATTTCTCTTAACTAACAAATCTGATGGAAACATTCCTTTCCTGGCTGCTGAATGCCCAGCCCTTAGATCAGGGGACCTCAAACCTTTTGAATAGGAGGCCAGTTGAAAGGCTGTGGTGACCGTCGCAGGCTGGTGAGCTGGGGGTGCCTGGGGGCGCGGGCCGGTGAGGTGCCGTCATGCGCGAGGTGGCATTGGGCACACACAGTGGTGGCTCACTCGTTTGGAGATCTCCCAGCGAGTCCAAAACCATCTCCGAGCAAGCGAGCCACCACCTTCCCGCCCGCGCTGCAAAGCAGTGGCGAGTGCATGCGTACGGGAGGCAGGCGGTGGCTTGCTCACTCGGAGACCATCTCCGAGTGAGCCACCACCTCCCTGCCTGCACTGCAAGGCAGTGGCGAGTGCACGCATATAGGAGGCAGGCGGTGGCGGCTTGCTCACTCAGGAAGCGGGCGGCGAGCTGCAGCACGGGCAGGATGGATGGCCATGGCGGGCTGGATCCGTCCCATGGGCTGTAGTTTGAGGACCCATGCCTTAGATAAATCTCAGATTCATAGCAAAGTAAAGAATTTGTAACATTTGCTCTTAGGCTCAGTTTATAGCAGATACCAACCATTCATGTTGTCAGAGACTGAGCCAGTGATAGAAGCAGGAGAGTTAGTAGCTCTTGACTGTGGTGCAGAAGATGCTGGATCATCTACAATCACTAGCATGTCATTACTGCTCTCATCAGGTGGGATGGATCCCATGTGCAACTCACTGTTAATGGAAATCTAGAACATGTAAAAACAAAAGCCTGTAAGCTTAAGTTACACAGTCAACAAAGCTTGTGTTCTGCTACCATAAGATATAAGAATGGCAAAACATAAGATGAGACATGCAGACCAAAGCCTATCTAGTGTAGCACTCTGTTCATCCAGTGGCCAGCCAGCTGCCTTGTGAAGCCCACAAGTAAAACATGAATACAATAGCACCCTCCTACTTGTGTTCTCTAGTGAGTGCTAGCCATAGTAGTAGAAAGCCACCATGACGAGTAATCCCTGACAAGCACAGAGGCACCCAGAAGTGACTTCTACAAGAAGTCCTCAGATTATCACAAAATGGGGCAAAGGAGTCACTTCTTCGTCATTTTCTGCTCTACTACACAGTTTTTCTGAATTTGTCTAATTCCCCTTTAAAGATATCCAGGTTGGAAGCCATCATTTCATCTTGTTGCGGTGAATTCCAGGGTTTACCTAAGCGCTGTGTAAAGAAATTCTTTCTTTTATTGATCCTGAATCTCCACTATTCAGCTTCATGGAATGACTTCAAGTTCTAGTATTATGTGAGTTCGCCCTTTCCACTTTTTTCATACCATGCTACATGATTAAATCACTAGCTCAGGTGCAAAAATAGGAATTTTTTAACTTCTGGAAAAGGTAATAGTTTCAAACAGCTGTAGGCTCAGTGCGCCTTGAGTAGTCTGCCAATCCCAAATCAGCCCTTTTAATATTTGATTATTCTGGCCAAGAACTGTTTCAACCCTATTACTTCAGTCCTGAGCGATTACTGAAGCCAGTACTTGAATGAGAATGTTCCTCTAGCCCAGGATGGGCAACTTTGGGGGACCTAGGGCCATTTTATTCCTTGTACCTCATCCCCACAGGCCACAGTCTTCCAGAAGATCCAAAAGTCAATTAAATAAATTAGAATGTAAAATAACATGAAAAATGGAATCTGGAGCACTAGAAAAGCCACATTAGTAGCTTTGGAACCTTGAATTTCACTTTTTATACTCCATTGTTCTCGGGGAATGCTTTTTTCTATATCTGTATTGCTAATATCTAGACGGTGGGGGCTGCAGCACAGGCCAAATTCAGGACAGATAGTGTCATATTTTTAGACAGACACAAACATGGTTTTCCATAACAGCAGATGATGCTGAACAATGAACACTTTCCCATTATTCCCATTCTGACATTTGGTGCCAGTCCTAAACATATGCTTGTTCTATAGATGTAAAAGATGCATCTGAGGGTTAAAATATATGTCTTTGCTGAATTTACTGGTTAACTGTTTGAATAAAGGTCCTGCATAAAAGTTTCCTGAGCTACCTCTGTTAATCTATTATTCCCTAGATTAAACAGAGTGTAAATATTTTACATCAACATTTTATGATCTATTCAATGTCTACTTGAAGAGACTCAGATATAGAAACATAGAAACAGAGCGAGTCAGAAGGGGCCTCCCGGGCCATCTAGTCTGACCCCCAGCTCCAGTCGGCTTCGCTCATGACATGCCCAGATATGTGGTTGAAAAAATGAAATTGCTCCATATATAAGGAGCTCAGCCAATTCTGCTCAGTAAAGAGTTCTGCATTGTTCCATACTTTACTCTGCAATTATGTATGATGTAGAGCACAACTGCAGAAGTAAAGAGTTCAGGAATCAAGACTGAAGACTGCTTTCCTACAAGGATAAGCAAAAAAAAAAAAGGTATCAGAAATACTGTAAATTGTGAGACATGAAATGCTGTGCAAGTTTATTTCACTGCATGTCAAAAATAAGTATTTCACCCTATATAGTAATGCAATGACCTCATATGTTATATATGAAATGGTCCTGTGATGTTCTAAAGCAATCCTTACCTCACTGAAAGGACTAGGCATGGCAGAGTCTACACTAACAAATGACTCGTCCCCATCAGCCGAGAGGTTAGAATTATCTGCAGATGGAACAAACGGGATCACCAGATTCATGCCTTCTTTCCTTTTCCTCCCATCTAACTCATCCTCCTTCTTCTTCTGCAATAAAATAAAACAAACAATCATCATAAGTTCTGGAAACATGGAAGAGAAGCAAAAACTCAAGCTGACCATGTGCTAGTCATCCACACAGTGCCATGTCTTTAACTGAATTCCTAACGATGTCCACATTAGTTTTAAGAGAACCATCAATTTCTAACACTGTGGAAATGCCTTTAGAAGCCTTATTTATGTATTTATTATATTTCATTCCACTTTTTTCCTTTCAAGGAACCCCGTCTTATAGGCAGGGCAAGAAAGCAACACCCCTCCCAATCTGATCATCCTGAGTAACTGGTCTTCAGAGAGCTACTGCCACTAAATGTATAATTTATGTATCATGACTAATACATGTTAGTGGACTGATTCTCTATGAATTTGACTCCGATTGATCGTTTTCAGAAGCTAGAGACCAGCACCACATCTTGTGGCAAACTCCTACTAAATTTTTATAATTAATTAATTGTACTTAAATTTGATTAAAAAGCTTTGGATGAAGGTAGTTGCACTTTCATTGATCCCCCCCGCCCCCGGCCAAATTTAGATATACTGGTTATCCCAAAGGTAAGAAAATATTCTCAAATGCTATTCCAGGAAAATTCAGATCAGATAGCAAAACTCAAATTGCATCCCTTTTCTAGTGAAGGAGTTCCACCCTTAAGTAATCTTGTTTTTAAAAAAATGAGCAAAGACAACACAAAACCAGAGGACAACAAGTAGTTTAGAAAAGGACACATAACCTGGATTAGGCAGGTTAATAAAAATGCAAGATAATACTGATAATAAAATGAATTTAATGTTGTGATAGTACAAAGGAAGCATGTTCAAAATACCTTTTCGGCATACTTTTCCCTTTTTCTTTTACGTTCTTTCACACGATTAGTCTCTTCCTGCTGCCGTTTCTCCTCCTGACGCTGACGCACTATCAGTGAAGAAAGTTAGAAATCTTTATCAAAGGAAAGCTAAAATCTTGTAGAACTGAAGAGCCCAGTGAAATGTTCTAGGAACGAAGGTGAACTTCCTCTTGAATCCCATCCTTTTATCCTTTAACCCAGATCACAGAATCTCTTTCAGCCTGAAGATAAGATTCCAATTGGAAGAAGATTTTGGGACCATATTCTAGTGGTAAGCTGACCAAAAGCTATAGGGAAAGGACCAAAATGCCATATTTTTGCTTAAATCTCTTACTATCAGTCACCTTAGGAGAGGCATTTCTGAACTGGGTTTGGGGAGGCATGATCTGGGCGGAGGTTCTGCCCTCCTGCTTTAGTTTGAACAATACATCGCTGTTCCTTTCTACCTTCTCAAGAATTCCGACACAATTATACAAGCATCTAAATAATATAATTGAAGTCTGCAGAGGAAAATGACATTTTAATTTGAGGTCTGATATGACAAAACTCACACATGATTAAAATTCACCAAAATGATAAGATAAAAACCTAACAGTCCCACTTTCCTGCCTTACTTCTATATTCCAGTTTAGAAGTAGAGAAAATGCTAGCTTCCCTGTCCGAATCTTGTAGTGTGCTATGGCTCAGAGTTGACTGGAGCATAACAGATGTTAGCAAGTACACACACACACACACACACACACAGAGAGAGAGAGAGAGAGAGAGAGAGAGAGAGAGAGAGAGAGCGAGAGCGAGCGAGAGCGAGCGAGCGCGCGTGCGGGCGAGCAGTGGATCCTGTCTCTTCTGCCCTTTCTTCTTCTCATACAGTAAAGTATATGGAATATATGGACATGAGAAAGAGAAATTTCCCACCACAATATTTCAAACTTGGTGTTTCCCACAGCTGTATTTTATGTGAGTACCCACCCATTGCACCTATGCAGCAACATGGAGCCTAAGAACAAATGCTTCAGTTGTTTTTAAAAAATCCTTCTTCTACCTTGGTTTATAGTTATCAATGCAATATAAGCCAACAAACAAAAACACACATATGCATATTTGGAGATGGTGAAGTGTTGGGCACACAGGAGCAGGCATTTGAACTCGCACATACATTTTTTCTCAAGTTCTTCATCATCCAGAAGCAGACTAACCACCTCCTTGGGTTTCAATGTGTCTGGTTTGAAATTACCACCTGAGATCACCATCCTTTGAATCTAAAGAAAGGAAAAGAAATCATCAGCCTTTCCTTTCAGAATATTTAATGCTAGGCATAATTAAGAGAAAGAGGAGTAAAAATATTTGTACTGTAATCAAGAGTACAAAAGATACTTTTTAGAAACAACAGCTGAGCTATAGATGGGCAGATCAGTATGAACATGGAAGTGACATGATACATTTAGTAGTTACTAGTTTATGCTTCTGCTTAACAAATTCTTTAGACCAAATGTAAAGTTGGACACACACATTAACCCCTGCTCCCCCAAAAAACAAACCCTACCACCACCCTGAAAATTTTCTTACTATTAATGTCTATTTTCTGAACATCATGGAGGGCATTCCTCAACTTGGAATAACACCTCCTTCTGGAGCAAGCAGACTGAGTTATCTAACAAATCTTCCTTCCCTAGGGAAAGGAGCTGTTCTGAACCCTGACTAAAAGGGCGAAAACCCCTTGCTGAAAACTGTGACAGCAACCAGTAGACATTGCTTATAAAAACTAAACTACAACTGTATCTTTAAAACCCATGTGAGCACCCAAAATGTACCAGAATTTTGGTGCTGTGCACAGTTAACTGTTATGGATAAAGTCAGTTTGAAGGAACATGATTCCTTCACTCTGCTAAAGTTAAGTAGGTTTAGATCTGGTCAATGCCTGGATGGGAGACCACCTGGGAACTCAATGCCCCAGATCTCATGATATAACAATGAACAATTTAAACAAATCATGAATAGTTGTGAATTAATGGAAACAAGTATACTAGCTTCTCACAATTCCCACTTCGCTAAACACTTAATTCCTGTGTTGTTTAGCAAGACCTGCAAAAACAGAATTGTGGGTAGCTGGGGGAGAAACAATCCAGCCTTGAAATCTATGCCTGAGCTGCTTAGCATGATGTTTAAGATTGCATGTTGTGCTAAATAACCTTAAACAGAAGCATCATTAGGTTTTTGTTTTTTTGGTGCGGTGGGAGCAGCAAATAGTTGGCAACCAGTACGCTTATTTGATTCTGGACAATCTATGGTTTGTTTAAATTGTGGGCTGCTGTGTCATCTGAACTGGCCTGATGTATATCACCCTGAGTTGCACAATATAAATGCACTAAAAGTCATAATAAATGGTAATTAAAAACAGCTACTCTTCATGCTAATTATATAAAGCCAGCAGTTTACATCATCTGGCATCTCTCTGCTTGAAAGCTTACTATTAGGCTACAGGATAGCTCTGTAGTTCCTGCATGATGGCCACTATTTTTTCTGCCAAAGAATTCCTCTGACTTCATGTTCCATTTTTTGGAGATGAGTATTTGCTTTTTCAAGTCAGAATACATCTTCCTTCCCATCTCCTTCCAGGCTTCCTTGTTCTACTTTTAATCACTAACCTCACTTTTCTCCTTGGCCCTCTGCAAGATGCGTTCCTCAATGGTGCCTTTACAGATCAGTCGGTATACAGTGACTTGTTTGGTCTGACCCAGCCTGTGAGCTCGATCCATGGCCTGCTGATCGACTGTGGGATTCCAGTCACTGTCATAGAAAATTACCTGTCAGGATATTTAAAAGAAAGTTATAAATAGAAAAATGGCTCTGTTATTATCACCTGCAGCTTATACATGGCTTTAAATGGATAGTAAATACTTTTTCTGTTTTCTCGTGGACTAATTCTGTGAAGTAGGTCACTAGGATCCCATATACTGGGAAAGTTTTCAGGATGAACTAGAGACATCTAATTATGCCCAGAAACCAGATACAACTCCATTTATAGATTCACCGAGCCATACTGGGGATAAGACATTTAGGGTATTAAGCTGTAGTGTTGTATTCTGCTGAATTAAGACTGTTGGAAAAATCACTTTGACACAACTGCCATTGCTCCCACAAGCTCTAAAAGGCCAGGAAAAACAGCTGAAATATGCTCTGGTGTGACTTCTGTTCAAGAAAGGCAGCTTCTCTTAGCTTTAAATGTGCCTTATCATCCTTTATAACAGCACACTGAATATTCAAATACAGAAAAGCAAAAAAAAAAAAAAAAAGTGAACCTTCATATTTTAATAATTTTGAAGTACCAAGCAAATCCCAGCTTTTATTTGGAAAGAAGATCTCTGACTGCAGTGCTAATTACTGGAGTTTCAGTTGTTTTAAGAGTTTGTGCACATATCAGACATCCTACATTTCAGCAGAGTGCAAGCTATCCTGGAGTAGCCTATGGTGTTAAAATTACACTTACAAATTATGCTATTTACTTACTGTATCAGCAGCTGTAAGGTTAATGCCTAAACCACCAGCTCTTGTGCTTAACAAGAAGACAAAGATATCATTCCTATGGAGACAAAGAAAAAAAACTTCTCTTTCAGTTCTGTTGCTGCACAAAAATTACAAAATACTATCAAGAGAGCTTTCAACATAAACAACCTTTCATTGTCAAAGCAACAAAATCATGGTTAGCTTTACATTGTTTTGAACAGTTCATGTTATAAATACTCAAGTGTGAATGTTCAGGAGGTGTCAAACAACAACTTGCTCTGCACAATCAAAACAGCCCACCATAACTTTTTGGGGAAAGGGGGCACCAAGCATTTTGAATATTCAATGTGTGGCTGTTACTTATTACATTGTGCAAACTCAGGGAGCCTGGGTTCTGTAAGGTTTAAATAACCATCACATTAGTTATGGACCCTGAGTTTGCATGACATTACGAACTGTTTCCAGGTGCTAAATATACAACTCCCACCTAGTACCCACTGCAACTTGCCCTGGTTCAAATAAGCCGCAGTGAGCTGTTCTGATCATGCAAATTGGACTATTTTGTGAGTGCTGGACCCAGGTTAAGGTTGCAATCCAAAATGCACTTACTAGGAAGTAAAATACACTGAACATACTTAAATATTTTTCTGAATAAAAATGAAGAGAGGCTGGAGGTAATGATTGATACAGTGGTAAGGTAAAAGCAATGGCAGTTCCTGGAGGGTTGCAGGCCAAGGAGTTGGCAGTTGGTCCATGGATGGGAAGTCATCTGAAATGCTAGGTCTCCATAGATGTGCTCCTGCCCTGCAAAGTAGGGCTTAGGATGGCGCTCTTGTTGGTGCTGAGGATCACAGAAAGCCTCTGGATCCCAGAAGTACCTCCGTGGATCATGGTATCTTTGGTATGATGCTAGGGCGGACCATTCCAAGCACCTGTCCCAGTCCAAGAGAGGAAAGCAAGAGTGGTATCTACAGCTTTCAGTTCTGATGCCAACCAACTGCATCAAAAGATGGTGAGATGGCATCTGACTGATGCAACCCTTGGGCTGCAGGAGGAGGACAGGCCTGCAGCTGAGTCAATGTATCCTGGATCTCTCCTTCTGATACTGAGGATGCTGAGACTGGCTCTTGTCAGGTCAGGTATGAGGGTGGTAAGTACCCTCTGAGGTAGACAGGTGCTCTGATGTAGACTTAGACAAGTCTACTGCCTGCAACGCCTTGTTCTACAGCTCTGCTCTTGGGCAGTTTGCCCTGTTTGTACAGGCCTTTTTAGTGAAGGCCTGATGATGTGGGCAGCAGTCATCAACAGAAAAGTCAGAGGCAGTGTCTGCTGGCTGGTGGGAGTTTGCTCCCATTGCCAATACATTTTTGGAATGGTGCTTTGAGTGCCATTGGTCCGTTGAAGAGAAGAAAAAGTAGAAGGAATAAGACAGAAGAAAAGTCAAGGGAAGATTGTGTGTGTAAATAAAGGTAAACAGGTTCGCAAATGAAAGAATAAGAAAGAGTCAGGAAATGTTAAGAATCACTAAGAATCGGAAAGAAATTCTCAAGGATTTGCAAAAGTGGTTGAAGAATAACTGAGGGAATGGGTAGAAACTCTTCCTAATATACCAAATGTCAAGGGTGGGGGACAGGTTCCTGATAAACCTCTTTCAGCAGTGAAAACTTCCTGGCAATAGGCCCCGTAAGGCACAGAGCCCATATGCGGGATGCTCAGAGGCCATGAAGAAAACAGACTGAGACGGTGCCTTGCTACATGCATTATATTGATGACACATTGGAACAGCTTCATGGTTGTCACGGAGTCCATGAAATCCTGAGCTGTCAAACAAGGTGCCCTCAGTATGAATGTCGATGTCCTTCAAAGCCAACAGCCTGGAGGACTCAACAACAGATAAGGAGTCTGTTGAGCAGTGGACAGGAAAGCATAGCAACAGAATCCATGCTCTCTCCCGCTGGCCCAACATATGATACAAACACTCCAGACTGGTCTTCAGATAGACAGGGAGCCTGACATCAGCACCCAGCTCTAAAGTCCATGCTGATACTGAACCAAATAACCTGATGGGCACAACTGGGAGAAATTCACTCCTAACTAACTAACTAACTGACCCAAGTCTCTGTTATACATGGCAGATCAGCTGCTTCATCCATTCTTAGATCATGGCTGAGGGAGGTCCTATTCTGCACTGATCTGGAATTTTAAAGCAGCATCCAGAGACCTAAGGGCAGGCTGATAGGACAATGATCAAATTTGCAAGTGCAAGGAAGGGCCAGAGCACAGCACAGCTAGCTCCACTTCTGGTATCACCTCCCTCTCTCTTCCCTCAGCATTACTCTGATGTGGTTCCTCAGTATTCCTTCACTTGGCCCTTATCCTCCCTCTGTGGCATATATGCAGGCCTGATGGTGGGAGCAAATCCTCCAGTAAAGGTCAAATTTCAAACTCCTGCACCGTTGATGGGGAATGCTGCCTGATGGATGCAATATATAAAAACAGAGTATTTAGGGGTCAGTGTCCACTTGCCAATCTCAATAAATTCAGAGCCATTTATGACCACGTTTCTCTCTCAAATGTCTCCACACTGTCTACATTGAACCATCCAGTGATAGTGCTGATAAGTGTTTGTACAGATTTTATATGACCTTCAAAACTGCAGCTTAAAACATCAGATAACATCTCTGACAACATAAACATACTGTATATTTTTAAATACTTTGCAATGCGAAAACAACCAACTGCTTCTATATTTATGGAAGAACAGTTATACAGACCACTATCTACTGGACAGTACAGATATGTAAACAAACAAATAAATACTACTTGGTGAAGCTGGCAGAATCAACCCCCAGATGTGCTGATTATTAACCACTGAATTACAGTAAACTACTAAATTGTAGAGATAGTTAATTATATTCCATAATACCAAAAATACAAGATTAATATGCTTTGGTGGTGGTAACTGCTAAGCATTTACAAGCTTTCAGCAGTTGCTTATGCTGTCTACTTCCCTGTTAAACAGTTTAATGACACTGAACTGGCAGCAGACCCTATAGAATGAATGAAACAAGGATTACAGTTTATTTTATTCAAGCTTCTACAACATGCACTGGCATCCTAAGATTTATTTATCAAGAATCAAGACCTCATTCATTCATTTATTTATGGATTTATATCCTGCCTTTTTCCTACAAAGGGCTCAAGGCAGCTTACATCATTCTTTTCCTCCATCTTATCCCCACAACAACAACAACCGTGTGAGGTAGGTTGGGCTGAGAGTCTGTGACTGGCCCAAAGTCACCCAGTTGGCTCCATGGCTGAGCGGGGACTAGAACCCAGGTCGTCTGAGTCCCAGTCCCATGCTCTTAACCACTACACCACACTGACCTTAGCATTAAAAGTTAAGAACACATTTCAGTTCACAATTTGTTTTTCTGATAAGCCAGCACTACTTCATAGTCAGTGAAGACAAATGAGACCTACAAGAAAATGTTGCAATGAATCCTCAAGTAGGAGTACTTTTGTTCAGCATTTCAAGTAGCCAACCCCTAGCAGTTTCTTTTGTTCTTCCTACTACCCTCAATTCTTTCCTTTTTCTTTTCCAAATGACCATCAATATTCTGCATTTACTAAGCATACTCAGCCACTGATGGAGTTGCTTCTTGTGTTTTTGGCATCTGCAGCTTTTAAAGATCTTTTTTCCTACTTCTGCAAACATTAGGTTCCTCCTGTATGCTGATACCTCCCTCTTCTTCCAATTCAGCTTCAGGTTTATTGATACTCACCACCCAAGTTTGCTATTAAAAGGAGTATTGTACAAGAGAAAAGAGGATCCAGAAAAGCAGTTGTGTGGAAGTTAAATCCCACAAGGGAACACTTTGGATCCTGGCCCTGGTCAAAGGACTACAAACAAAAGCCCCAGCACAAGGATGAAATTCTATTGGGGTAGGGGACCTTTGCTTACTTGGAAATTTAGGAGCTAGTTTTCAACACAATATTACTACAATTTTTAAAAAGATTTTAAAAGATACCTGTTCTGAAAGTCAGCTACCATATCTCTTCTTTCTGAGATTTTTGAAGAACCATCTAGCCGCATATATGTATGTTTTCTGTAAACCATGTATTCCTAAGTCAAAATGACAAAAACCAGAACAAAATTCATCTTAAAATTTCATATCTAAAATTCAACAGATTTGAAAATTAAAACAGTTATTGAACATCACAGGTTCATATACTATTGTGTGGCATCTGATGTGCAGCAGACTGACTACTAGTTCTGAGCTTGCTGGGTAGCGGAGTAAAAAGAGACTGAGATGATCAGGAAGTCTAGACATAATTCATAAACCTAAGAATGTCAGAATTTATTCAAAGAAGGAAAGAAGAAATGGATGGATGGAAAAGTTCTTCAGCTTTGAATGTTTGTGAAAAAGAAGCCAGAGGACCACAATTGTTAAGAAAATGGGATTTCAGTGGAGTACATAGTACTATGCACTGCCCTATGTTTAGCAGAAGCACAGATTATGCAAAATAAATGCATGCAAATTTGCTTTATAAAATATACAGATGGTAATATAGAATTTACAGATTACATAAAATATACAGATGACAAAACTTTTTTTGGTGTGCAATTTCAATTTTTAAAATGTGCCCACAAAACTCTGATAACAACCTGATTTGCACAACTTACAGGCAAACTATGCTATAGGAAAAGACTTCCTCCAAAGAACTTCTGCTCCAAGCCACAGACCATACAGAACTATGCAACTTGCAAATAATGTGATACATTTTTAGTGTACCCAGAGCAGCTTGATTCCTTAATGAAATCTGAGGTGTTCTTAACTCTCCTACAGCTGAAGATCCAGTCTATTAATTGCTTGTATATGTGGACCTGTTCCTTTCAAGTATCAAGCACAGCTTGTTTTTCTCCAGCCATAAAAACAGACCTTCCTAAGGAAAGCTAAGCTGCTATGGAAAGAATGAATAAGGGAATGAATTTGGTGTTTCATCTTGTTTAAATGAAGTTTGACAGAAATGCATCATACTGTATTAACACAAACAACTCTAGGACTACACTATGTAACTGCTTACCACAATGACTCTTCCACTACATTTTGGTAAATAATGCAACACAAGATTATGGACTGCTAACAGTATTTTCTCGCACTTGTATACAGGACTACAAACAAGTTCCTGCTTAGAGACTATATAAAAAAAAAAAAAGCAAGACTGGGGTGGAAGTAATCCTTAGCTCCCAGAAATGGACTAGGTATAAAATTATTCATTTTGCATCATTTGTTTTCCATACAAATGGAAGAGCACTATAGGACAGTATGTAGAGATTAAGGGAAACTACTGCAGCCAAAATGAAATGGCAGGGAAAGCAGGGCCATTCCACCTGAATGCTGAAAGGCCTCCAACTGAAGGCTTTTCAACTGTCTTCACCAGAAGGCTGCACTGGGGCAGATGAGAGTGGGAAACGGGGTCATTCTACCAGCCTGATATGTATTTTTCCTATTCCCTTCTCATTCCTTTTTCCATGTGTGTGCTTTACTACTGTAGTCTTGTTTTACTAGTAGTATGTAAGCAGTTCTGACAACCTTTTTGACTGAACGCTGGCATAAAATGCTTCAATTAATTAAACAAACTGCCATCTGACTGAAGCTGCATTTTGATGCTACCACAAAGGCAAACCTCATCAGAGACCACATGTACTCTCTTGGGAGTCAGCTCTTAAATTAAAAAACAAAAACAAATGAAAATCTCAATTCTTTTTTATCCCAGCAGTCAAGCTTACTAGATATGAATTTTGATCTGGGGAAAAAGGTACCGTATTTTTTTGCTCTATAAGACACACTCCCCCCCCCCTCAAAAGTAAGGGGAAATGTTTGTGCATCTTATAGAGCGAATGTGTGTGTGCCCGACGCCCGGGACGCTGCCGGCCACCTGCACCACGTGGCACCACCTGGCTGGCACGTGCTGCTCCACCGCCCCCCCCTCCGGCGCAGGTGAGAGTTGTGTCGCTCAGGGGGAGCAGCAGCTGCGGGCTTTAAACTGCCAGCCGCACGGAGAGACGGACTGCTCAACCCCACCGCCCGGGAAGACCTGCCGCTGCCACGCCGCCCGGAAGACCACCACCGGCACGCTGCCGGCCCGGCTGCACCACACCTAGCCGGCACGCGCTCGGCGCACCCTGCTCTACCCCCCTCCTCCGGCGCAGGTGAGAGCTGTTAATCACAGGTCGGTGTGTGTTTTCAAATGGCAACCCGTCTTTTAATGAAGCCCATGGGGAAGTGATGGGGAATGTGCCTGTGATTATCAGGAAGCTTTCCATGGATCCCTCCTCTAAAAACTAGGTTTGTCTTATGGTCAGGTGCGTATTATAGAGTGAAAAATACGGTAGGTTTCATTATGGCTTGGCTTAGCAGAGGATCTATCACCTCTTTGGTGCAAAGGGGCACAAAGGGGCAAAGGCAGTGCCAGATCTCTGCACACCAGTCCATAAGTCCAAATTTACACGACTCACTTCTACAACTTTCTAATTCTTGTTTCTGCAGCTGCACTGGAACTTTTTTTGTTGGACTCCAAAAGAGACCCCCCAAAATAGGTTAGGATTGCAAACAGTTGCTAGAATGGAGGTGAAGAATCGTAGATGAGGAGGCCCTTCTACATCTGGAATAATAAACTAGTTGCATATTCAGTGCCAAATGAAGTACTCAGAATGGTAAGATAGGCATAATAATTGCACTGGAAGGTTCAAGAGCTCTTGGCAGAAATCCTTTCAGATCTTTAAACATGAACAGCCTACAGTCTCTTTTCTAACTAAAAATGAAGCGGCTGACTAATCCTAGAGCAATAGCTATATTAAAACCAGATGAATATCCTCCTGTTAAGCCTGTTTAGCTGACATGGTCAGCATGACACCATTAGTACTAATCCTGGAAAATAATGAAATTCATCAAGGGCAGAGAAAGCATGTTACTGAGGCAACACAGAAATTGAATCATTTCATCACTCCCCCACCATTTTTTTTTGTTTGTTTGTTTTGGTCCACTGAGGATAACAGGGACATTGCAATGTTAGGGAAAAATAATACAACACCCTATTATTCAAACCAAGGAAGACCAAGCAATTTATTCACAGTATGATCCAACAGCCCTAATGTGCAAAGAAGAAAGCAAAAAACATTGGATAGATGGCCGAAGTAGCAGTGCGACAGTGTCATAGCATAGATGTATACAAGACAAAATCCCATGAATACAGAATGGTTGTTCAACAGGTGAAAATGACCCTGTTTAGCCCTGTCAAAAACCCTGTTTTGAAAGAAAGCCTTGCTGTTGATAACTTTCTAAGCTAAGTGCTCCCATAAATGGGGTGAGCTGCACTTTCCCCATTTTCCCAAGTACCAAGACTCTTGTAAAAATGTAGAGGACACTGAGAACAGTCAGGTCTACACTGAGGATCTTGCTGTCAAAGGAATTATCTACTTGCTACCCCCCTTCACAAGCAAAGAGCTGACTATGGCTTTTCACTTGACAAGTTACTTTTTGATGGATGTCAAATCAAAGCAAAGTAACATAACCAAAGCCTGGCACTGTTCAATATGCAAGGGTTCTGTGTGCTTCAACAGCATACACTTAACAGGACATTATCCAGGCAAGAATTTAAACTCTAACCAACCAAATAACAATATAGAAAAACATTAATGCACACTTCTGGAATAATTTTTAAAATAGTGATGAAGCAGTGATGGCCCCTCCAATGTACTGCTCAGGTATTTAGGAGGGACAGTCATTGGCTGTCACTTTGAAAATCATGAAAAGTGATCTCCAAAAAGAAAAGGGGGGGGAAAGGGAAAGGGAAAAGCACAGTAACCCCAAAAGGGGTCACAATCACAACAGGGAGAGTGAGCCTGTGATCGTCACCCCAACAGGCCACTTGGGTAGCTGGCACAGCGACTGTCACTGGCAGTAGCTTGAGTGAGCCAGGCAAGAGATTTTCACTGCTCTTTCTCAGCAGGCTGCTCAGTGCTTCTCCAGAGTCATGTAATATTGGTGTGCTGGGTTTAGAAGAAACACCAATTCAATGTGGGTGAAACAAACTCACAGAACAAGCCATAGGCTGTCAGGGTTGCTTGTTCCTCCCCAAACTTCCTAGCCTGTGTGAAGTAGTTCAAGGTCACACAACATGACAACCCACCATGGCTAAGTACCCAGTTACAGCATTATACAGGTACAGCCAAACATCTAGCACTGCACTAGTGCATCAGCACAGGTTAACATGACTGCACCAAACAAGGCATTAAACCAATTTACTTAATTACTTATTATAGAATATTTATGTGTGACTTTTCATTTTAAGAACCCCAAAACAGTTTATAGCTAATTATAAAATAATATGTCATTACAGTGACACAATATTATTTGAACAAGTTAATGGTTGGAGAAAACCAGGGTAAACAAGCATGTTTTTAACAATTATCAAAAGCACATGTTTATCAGTGCTTGATGTACTGCAGCAAAGAGGTCATTCCAGATGGAGGGCACAACCACAGAGATAAACATTTAAGATACCAACAGATGGGAGTGGGGAAAGTTTGCATGAATCTATGATAAACATACACCCTGTTCTTAGGTACTAGGCATTAGCAAAGCATGGAAACAATGAAGCCTCTCTCTGCTGAATCACTACAAAAAAGGCATTAAGCCAGTCTCCTCCTTGGCTTAGCACCACTGCAAGTTTTTTTTCCTTTTTACTCAGATAGTGATGCATCACAAGGGCACTTATGCTGTTAGCAGAGCTTCTGGTCTCTACATGACAACCTGTGCTTTATTTGGTTAACTGGAGCTGCACAAGTCAGAATAAACCCTGCACTCCCAGTAATGTAAGTTGCTTGGCAAGTCTCTTTTCAGCAGGGACACAGAAAGGCTGGTAGCTGTTTCCCTTGACAGAAACAGAATAAAGCAACAACGGTATAACCATGCTGCAGCTCCACAGATCTGGGGTACCACTTCAGGAGAAAATGCAAACTGATAAAATGTTACCGATACCATTTCTGAACTATTAACTCCATGTTTAAAATAAGATATCTCAACCTCCTTTAAAAGGTTGTAAGACAAATACTACATTTCCTTAGCTTCAGATTCCTTATTATACAATGCTATGTTTCCTACCTCCAACAAGTCAATCATCCGTGTCATCTGAGAATAGATAAGAACTCTGTGTCCTTGAGATTTCAATCTTGTCAATAGAATGTCAAGGGCATAAAGCTTTCCACTGTCTGTGATCAGGCTTTCTTTATCTAAAAGGAAGAAGGCAAAAAACCTGTTGTAGGGAATTTTTGCAGCATACAAGTAAACAATTATTTATGCATCATCTTAACTGATAACACTTTGTTGGATTCTAGCTTAGTCTTTCATGAATATAAGTTGCCTTCCATACACAGAAGGCTTTTGATTCAGTGGAGAATCCCGCTGGCAAATGTTGTAAATTTTTCTTCCTTTTTTAGCCTCATTTTGCTATGCTGTTCCTGAGGAATTTGACAGCAGTTTTGCAGGATGCAAGAAACAGAAGGGAAATTGGCAAAAATGCTGTCTCTCTCATGTCTTTTATATCTTGAGTGACACACCATTTAGGGGATTCTTTACAGACAGGAGCAAAGGCTTAATTCAAACCAATGATATTTCCTAAATTGATGGTAGAAAACTCTACTAAAAATAATTCACTTGAAATAAAATGCATCAGAAACCAATTACCACTATCCTTCCATCTTCTCTCCTCACATGTAACATGTCTATATGAGTGAAGTTTCTGCTTTAGAAGCATATCTCTCTTTCAAATTCTTGAAATGCAGAAGACTAACATTTCACTTCATCATACAGAAACTTTCACATCTTGCCCTTTTGACATCTTTAGCTATTACATTAACTGTAAGATGTAGCTGTACTTTTAATATTCATATTCCACCAGCAACAGCAGAACTCTTTTGATTATACAAATAATTCTACATGCTACAAAACCTGTGACTACACTGCAGTGTCAATCCTCTCATCTAGTGTTTTGTTCTTGTTGCATTTAATAAATGTTTGCGACTGGAATATTTCAATGCACTCTTTAAGGCTTGTGTATCATCTTTCACATACCTCAACTTGAACTGCAGGTTTCAAATGCACACTTTTGAAAGAGGGAAAGTTCCTGCTGCTAAAATCTCACAATTATATAAACCTATACAGGTAGTAATAAAGCAAGGAAGCTGGGTGCTGCAGTGGATTTAGGGCAATCAAACATTCTTAAAGTCTGTAATCCTACTGAAGTCAATGGCCACAATTCCCATTAATTGTGATGGAGTAATCTGTAGCAACAACATTTTGTCAAGGTTCAGAGAATGATCCAAAGGCATCTAATGCTGCCCCACCACTGAAGTGAAGCAGATGTATCTTTGGCCAGCACCCTGACAGAGTCTGGCTGAGAATGGCATGCTTGAACTCTTCAGAAAAAGAACATGATGCTATGAATGAGGCAGATATCCAGATTTATGTGAAATGGGTTCTTGGTGAGTGCCATTCTTGGTGTTTTTAGGGTTAGAAATGCGGTCAGTTACAGTGGAAAATTAGGCAAATATGAAAGTATGCTCAGAACTGTATAAAATTACATTACTAGCCAGTAAGCCTGTACTGTAAGTCTTGCCTGATTTGCTCTTATTTGCTTTATGCTACCTCAACAAAACTGTCAGAATTCCTTTATTATATCCTCCTTCGTCTGGCTCATATTTTAGTTTTACCAAGTTAAGACAATGTGTGTATTCCATGCACATTCAGCACAATGCTAAATCTGATACCTGAAACAGAATCTGGGGTCATTAATTTCTCAGTTTTCTTTTCTTCAAGCTCCCTCAAAAGCCCTTATGTCATGCTGACAATGCACAGGTGAAACATGTGCACAGGTAAGTGCGTCAAATATATTTAAGTTGCAATCCTATAGTCACTGATCTGACAACACCACTGAATTCAACAGTGCTTACCTCTGAGTAAATACATATAGAATTACATTGTTAGAGATATTATACAGAAGGGTTTTAAAAAGCTTTCCAAATATTAGAAGGCCAAGTTTCCCTTCTCAATTTCCATCTAAAAAAATTGTAAAACAAGTAAAATTGTAAAAAAAAGTATTTTCCTTTCACAAACACTATAATCAGCATACATTTGTATTAATTGTGTTTCTTTGATACACAGGATATCACTCTAATCATACCGATTTTCTTTTCCTGTTGGATTCCAGAATGTGGAAAAAATGATTGCAACATGTACAAAAACTGCAGCTAAACGTGGAAGCAATGCAATATTTCAGTCTGCCTGTCTTATGATTATATAAGGGGTCTCTAAGGGCAAACCTGTTGGCCGTCTCAGAGTAGAAACTGGAATTCAGCCCACTGTGATAAGCAGATATATACACATTATTTAGAAGATATAATTTGGGATATGGAGAACAGCAGTCTGCCTAAGTTATATCTTTTGGAACATGTGCTCAAAGTTGCTTTGAAAGGGGATTGACTGTGACTGAAGATTAAATAATTAATGCAATCCTATGATTCTTCTCTTGATTATATTAGTAATATAATTCAAAACTGGCTAAACACTTTTTAAGACAGCAAATGATGCATTTGTCTAAATTAGATTTGTGCAAGCTAATGAACTTCTTAGTGTTATATTTGCTCATTAGTATGAAATTGATCTATAGAGTTGTACAAAGTACTGCTTTAAAAATGCATTCATTTGCCTTCATTTTCATTTGATGTCATTTAGCAGAAGACACCCTGAGAGATCAACCTTGACTGCTCTTTAGAAGACCAGATACTGAAGATGAAACTCTACTCTGACCACTTAATGAGAAAAAGGACTCACTGGAGAAGAGCCTAATGCTGGGAACAATAGATGGCAAAAGAAGAAGGGGATGGCAGAGGATGAGGTGGCTCACTGAAGCAGTGGAGTGAGATTGAGTGGACTCCGGGGGAGGGTGGAGGACAGGAGGGCCTGGAGGAATGTTGTCCATGGGGTCGCGATGGGTCAGACATTACTTCACAACTAACAACAACAGCAGAAGATGGTGAGTAAAGAAAACAGCCTATTAAACTTTGACTATATGGAGAAGAGTTTGTGAAGGATTCTAGAGCACTGCCTGCCAAACTTGGAAACAGAGATATTAGAGATTTCAGCCAAGTGAGTTCTTAATGAACATCAATTTGCTCAGCAGAAAACTGAAATGTTGCTAATCCATACTTAGTAGAAAGAGTTTCATCTTACCACTGACATGGTGCCAAGGATTTGTAGCAGGGCATACAGCAGCTTGTTTTTATGACTCTCTTTTTGTGCTGCACGTTTTTGCATCCTTTTTATGATCTATACTCTGAACCAATCAACAAGATAACTGAACACCTTGATTGTGTGTGGACTTGAACACTATTTTCGCTAACTCAAGCTGAAGTGTTATTTTGAAATAGGAATAATTATTTCCATTTAGTTAGCAGTTGAGACTGATTGGACTTGAACATATGAATGTATCATTTGCTTCAGTTATCCACAGAGCATTCCTACTGATGGGGAGAGAATATGTGGCAGAGGGCTGCCACTTTCTAAACCCTGCTGGAGTAAAACCAGCCAGGGCACATGATGGGATAGTAGAAGCGTTCCTCCCTTTTCCTTGATTTGTTTCCTTCAGTGGATGTTTGAAATTCAGTGGATGTTTGAAATTTTCCCATCTATTGATTTCAATGGGATGGAAAATACACGTGTGAGCTCTAATACAGAAGTGTTTTTTTCAGGGGAAGTGTTGGAGGAATGAAGGAATGAATCCAAGACTTCTCCCAATCAGCCCCATGCTGCCATTCTATCTAACTATAGCTATTAGAGGAGCAGCAATAGTGGTGCAGGTTCCCACCACTGCAACAAAAATGCCACTGGCACAGAACTCCTGTTCAGCTTGAGAAAAAAGGTCTACACCATTCAGTGCCCTTCAGCCATCTTCCCCAGAAATTTAGGACTGATTTTTCTTTTCAGCAAGGCTTTGTTCCTCTGTGTGCATACTGATTCTATCTTTATTAATGCTTTCATGCAGTTTACCTAGAACAGATGTTAAGCCCACTGGCCTATAATTTTCTGAATGCCCCTGTATCCTTTTAAAACTTGATGCTGTATTGGCCATTCTCCAATCCTCTGGCACAAGGCCTAATTTTAGGAACATGTGAAATATTTTGGTAAGGTCAGTGATTTCATGCTTGAGTTATTTGATACCTCTAGGATGGATACTATCTGGACCAGGTGACTTGCTTACTTTCAGTTTGTCAGTAAGGTTGAGAATGTCATCCTTTGTCACTACTATCTGTCCTAATTCTTTAGACTCCTTTTCAGAATATATAAGCTCAGGGCCAGGTATCTGTTCCACATCCTCTACTGAGAAAACTAACAGAAATACTGCATTCAGCTGCTCTGCAATCTCTTCATTCCCTTGTAGGGCTCCTTTAATTCCATTATTGGCCAATGGTCCAAATGCTTCTCTAGTTGCCTTCATACTTTTGATATATTTAAATAATTATGTCTAGCACAGAGTTTGCCTCCTTCACAGCAGCGGAGCACTGCAAAGTTGTTGGTAATACGCTCCTCAAACTGCTTCCTTGCTTCTCTGGTTGTCTGCTTGCATCTCCCTTATGCAATCTTGTGGTCCCTTCTTTTCATTTGGGCAAGATTTCCATGTTTTGAAGGAAACTTTCTTCTGCCTAATAGCTTCCTTAATTGTGTATTAATGTTGGTGGTGATTTTATTGACTTTGTGCTATCTTTTCTCACTTGTGGTAGGCATATTATCTGTGCCTCTAGCATTTTTTAGTAATCTCCAAGTGCTTTGAAGCAAATTAAACTTCTTGATTCCCCTCTTCAGATTCTTCTTTACGAGTTCCCTCATTTTTGAGAAGTGTCTTCATTTGAAGTCAAATGCAATTATACTTGGCCTCTTTGGCAGTCTTCCACCTAACTGTATATTAAATCCAATACCAATGTCATCACTGTCACCTAATGGCTCAACAACATTTACATTCTGTACTATGTCCTGGGCAACCCTGCCTGGGACTCAATCAAAGATTTCCTTCCCTCTGTTTGGCTCCACGACCAACTGCTCCAGGGCACAGTCATTTCTGACATCAAAAAAATTAATCTCACTGTCAGAACTGGAACGTGCATTTCTTCAGTCGATGTGTGGGTAGTTGAAGTCCCCCATTACAGTACTGCATCTATTGGAGGCCTCCCAGATTTCATTCACCATTTCAAGATCACCCTGAGCCTTCTGGTCTGGGGGATGATGGCATACTCCTATGACTAAGTAGGTTTTGGAGCCAGGAATTTTACCCATATTGCTTCTGTGGAAGAGTCTTCACACTTTAGAGTATTAATATGGTTGGACTCTATGCTCTCCTTAACATAGAGGATAACACCCCTCCACACACTATTTTCAAGGCTGTATGTGTTGATATCTGTAACCTTCACACCAGGCAGGCAATTCTCCATGCAGTCCACATGTCCATTGCACTCCCAGCTTTCTATGTTCCTGTGACTGAATCTCCCACTACTAGTAGCCCCCCACCCCCAGAGGCATATCCTCAGTGTGAGGATATGCTCGCCTGCCAAGGAATAGGTCCCTTCTAAGGGATCATCTTCATCTTCCTCAGAATGATGCCCTCCTTCCCCAAGACCCTCTTTCTCTGTGACTGCAAAGAAGCTGTCACTGAGGAGTAGGGACCCTGTTACCTGGTCCCAGGGATTTCACAATCCAGCCTCTTTGTTTCTCCAGGTCAGCAACCTTGGCTTCAAGGGAACTAATGTTTCCTGAGCTCATTACACTGAGCGCACACCCTAACTTCTGTCCAGCTGGCACATAGTTATACATGTGGCATTCAGTGCAACATACTGGATAGCTCCAGCACCCCTGCTACTTTCTACCTTTCAAACTGGTGTAAACATACCTGAAAAACCTAAGAAATTTTGGATTTTATCAAGTTCCTTTATTTATTCTACTGGAGAGGATTCTACCCTAAATCAGACTTAACTGAACTTGATTGGAAAACGAGAAGGGTTCAATGATAGCCATGGAAGAAATATGCATAATCAAAATAATAGCTCAAATAAACTCAACTAAGGAGTTACTTTCCCAAGGAATTTGGTTTATCTTCATTCCCACTAGGGAATTAGAAAATGCTCAATTTAAAAATAGACAGTAAAATGGCTAGATCCTGGTTTTCAAGTTAGTGCCTGCCTCCTCTAGAAGCTTGCAGGGCATAATAAGGTCAGTGAGGAGCTAGCTAGCTCTCACAGTAAACAGCCAGTGAAGCTGGTGCTTTTTATCAATGTAAAAAGGACTCAGACACTTCCTGCTATTTAATCTAAGACCATTTTTCTTTCAAAGAACAGGAAAAGCCTCAAGAGATTCCCACAGTGATCGCAACAGGGAACACCAAGTCTGGGAGAGAAAGGGAGAGTTAACTGCAGCAGCAGCTGTTTTGCTGCTCATTTAGATATTCACTTCAATGCAGGCTGGGTTGCTCCTTAAGTTTTTGTTCATTTTCTAGAACAAACTCAATCTTATCAACTTAAATATCCACTCTTCCTTATTCATCTCTCGAATGAATTAAATTGAAATCTACTGGGTATTTTCTGCTTTGTGGTTTCCTGTATTAAATGGAATCAACACCTATGATTCCCTAATATCAACCTGGTTTATGCTACTTCTGCATCCACAGTCTTAAAGTGAATGTGTTTCTCTCTGGAGTCTGTATGCTTAGCTTAGCATAGCACTAGAACAACAAAGGAACACATATTATATTTGAGATAATATGGATCAGCCACATAGAAATATGTTATGGTTTCATTCCAGCTTTAACACTTATTTACAAGTATTGTGGCCAAATACTATGCTCATAAAAGTATTAATGGGATATTTCTACTTCTGGTCTCCTAATAACCCAAGTTTTTTGCTTTCATAGTATTTTTTTCTGTTAGTTTATTTTAGAAGCAGCTACTGATCCTTTGCAATTTATTTACTTTTTTTCCAGCCATAAAACAAAGGCCCTGTCAAAAGGAAAAGACAGTGCATACCTTCCAATATTTCAGAGATGAAAACAGGGTACACGTGTAGCATCCCTATTCTCAAACCAAAAATCACTGTATCACCACCACTGTTGTCTACTGCATAGACTGACTTCATAAAAGATTGCTCTGCAGTGATTTAAAACCAATGAGGTTGGTTGTTCTTTGAGTTAAATAGAAGGGGAGGGGCTCCCACCCAAGTTAAAGCTTAGCTGTAGAAACTTCCTGACAAAAGGCTCCACACAGTCCCAGAGCCCATATCTGTGATGCACAGAGACCACGAAGAAGATAATGGTCCCACACACTATTCTTATCAGTAAGTAAAAATCTATCCCAGAAGTAGGTGAAAGTATACCACAGGAATCAAGTGCTCCAACATGTACATGACCAAGGTTTTCTTTAGTTTCTAAGAGTTTCTCACAGTTCCCCAGCCTCATCTAAGCACGCATAGGACTGCACCCTATGGATTTTTTCCATTAAGATTAGAAGGAAGGCTTTTCAGCATTGCCTAAATTATGAAACAGCACTCAAGGGAGACATATCTAGATTTTTTCTTTGCCCAGTTTTAGGTGGACTTTATTGTTTTGGTACACATTTTTTAAAGTTAGAGCTCCTAGATTGTGTGGGTTATCTGCTAATCTGAAATGTTGTGTTTACTACTGTATTTTTAGACTGGCATTTTAGGCTTCTTTTGTTATTATATTTTCTATTCAGTATGCCAACTTAGGCAAAGAGAGGCAGGAACTTCATGTTGTTGTGGTGTTCTCACACGTATATTGATATGGATGTCCATTAGAGACAAAATGCAGCCCTCTTCAGAGATTTAACTGCTAGAGATAAGGGACAGGGGCAGAATCAGGAAGACCTCTAGCAGCAACCATTTACCAGGGGCAAGACTCAGAAAACAGGAAGAGTCGGGGGCATAAAGAAGCAGAGGGAAAAAGTTACCTAGAGCAAAGTGATGAGTTGTAAACAGGCATTTGTATCCAGTGTGACTCAGGTACACAAAATGGTTCAGTCTTCCACCCACCCCATCCCCCATCCAGCTGGATAATTTGTCTTAAATTCTCTTAAACAGTTTCCCAAAAAGAAAGTATCCTTTATTTGTTAGCTTGTTGGCCCAGTTTGGATGTAACAATAAGCCATGATTTGTTGTTGGCTTGTGCCTCTAACTTTTCTGGAAAAGATAAACCTAAATTCCTAGCTTGCAAATAATGGCAAAGAATGCACAGACAAAGGTTGTTTGGCTGCTCCTGCTGATCAAGGTATAATCAGGTTGTATGCATCGGAATGTCACTCAAGCACAATATGAGCACAACCTTGGCGTATCATTATGCCTGAGCTGGTTTAATTTAATATAACGTCTAGATAAAAGTTTGATAGCAATTAGGGGACAAACACATAATACAAAACTAAGATATGCAGTTAAGGAAAGGTTCTGGTCCACTGCATCTTGTATTCGACTGTTCAACCACAGGTGTGCAACTCACCTGGTATCCTGATGAAAGACCAGCCATTTTGAGGCCTGACTCCCAGCAGTCCTCCTGGATAATCAGGGAATAACTGAGAACACCGTTTTAGCCAGCCAGCTGCTAGTTCAGGTGCTCCATGCATTATGCATTGCTTTGCTTCAAGGTTTCCTCCTTCTTTAAGTGCCTTACGCTCATACTCTGCACTCCGATCATTGCAGTAGAAATCCAGTGGCACTGCTGTTACCTGTGGATTAGAATCAAATTATACTGGTGATTATGGTGAAAAATATCTCTGAGAATTTTAGTAATACATTGACTATCTTTAGGAAGATAATGCTGAAGCAACCCAAATACTCTCTGAACCATTCTTGCCAATTTGTAAAATTGAAAAATACAATCAAGAGGTGTTATAGCACTCTTATCTCAGGTGCAGTCAGAAAACAGTATTTTCATTTCTTGTGGAAGCCACACTTGTTTGATGCTTATGAAACCTTAACAATTAGAATCATGTGTGCCAGTTTCCCAGCAGAAGTGAGCTTATGCTAGTCCACTAAATTGGGGTATACAAGGTGAGCAGTGGTGTGAGGGAGCAGGGGGGCACATGTGGCAGGCTACACAGGAAGCCTCCAAGGGTCACCTGTGGCCGGTGGGCTACAGATTGTCCACTCCTGAGCCACATGGACAGAATTCAGAAAATGCATGGCTCTTACCCACAACAGTTGGAATCTAGCAAATACAGGACAGAGGAAAGGATTTGGTAAGAAAAAAAAAATAAAGGTGATCTGGGAAAGGTTAGGCACCCAAGTTACAAAGTAGAAAAAATGAAAGATGGTTTTGTTTTTTTTAAAGGAGAGGAAAATAAGTGTGTGGGTGGGAGTGGGGTTGTGAGGGAATAAGAAGCATAACTACATAAAGCCTGAGAGGAAAGGGGGGCTTAAAGGGGGGGCTATAATGATTTAAAATGTTATGAATGTGTTCCTTTTAATGTTGGTAAGTTTCAGAAGGGCCATGGGGGTAAAACAAGGGGATGAGCATGGTAATTGGTTGGTGACTGAGTGTGAGTGGACGGAGCCTGGAAGTGTGTTAGGAGAGAGAAGCAGAACTATCAGCCAGTCAGTTGTGGTCTGTCAGCAGTTAACAGTGAGGGCTGCGATCTGGCAGCAGCCTACAGAACCTGAAGAGGCAGCCTTCTCTTTAGAATCCTGCATAGTGCTGTGTAAAGCACTTAAGATCCTAAAGGAGGAAGTGCAGTACCTACAGGACATATTAGTGACTAGGGAGAGTCAAAATTTAATCTTGTCAAGTATAAGAGTACGTGAGAGAGAAACTGACAGAAACCTTCCTACATTCAAGAGAGAAAGGAGGTTGCTTGTAGAGAAGAAGAGTGAGATACCTCAGTCAAAAGTTATTACACAGTTTTCTTCATTAAGGAAATAAGTTACTGAACATCTTGAAACCAATACGCTTATTGTGCAAATAAAGTTTTATTTTGTTTATTGTTAACTCAGTCATAGGCTGTTTGAATACCAGTATCTCATCCTCAGGACCACATAGTCCAATGAAGGAGCCTTCTAGCTTGGGCATAATATTGAAGAAACGGTTAATTAATAAGATTGGAATTATATTCCTGGTGGCAGAGTTACAAACTAAGAGACAGAGAGGGAGATTTAATAATGGCAAAGATACTCCATATCCAAACATATTATAGAAGAGTACTCATTACAGGGCCACACACTGATCTCAGTGCTCATCTCTACATCAATTACAGTGCTCATCCTGTATTAACTGGAGTATCCCACTATGTATTCTGTTCCAACTGTCAATCAAGCCTGAACTTCCAAATCATGCTTTAACCATTATGTAACAGGTTCAGGACCCTGAATGCCTCTAGTTTACTCAACGTAACAGTGAGCCAGAAGCAATATTCTCAGTGTAATGTTTACTGCTTCAGTATACAGCAACGTATTTTATGTTAATGGCCATCTGAACTGAATCCATAATATAATGGCATCAGAAAAATTCTGATGATGGTTTTAAAAATTAAACTGCACAACAGCAGCAGCTGCTATTCAGTGAGTTATATCCTTTGTTACAGCAAGTCTTTTATTTATTTTAATGGCACAACAGACAAGCCCAGGTCCTTATGTAAATGAAACTCTGCAAGAAGCATGATTATTATTAAAGAGTATTTATTTAATATCCAATGTTCCTTTCCAGTCTAGTATTTTTGCAAGGGCCTAGTATGCCTCCTGTTACTGCCAACCCTAACAAAACAGTTGCATGAAGAGTCCCTATTTCTTTTACAAGGAAGAAGAGATTTCTTCCAAGTGTAAATTTCAATTCTGCCCCTTCAGTGGCAGTGGTGCTTGTGATGGGTTGTCTCTTATACTGGATGTGCAAGTGATAATGAGCTCTTAAGTTTTCTGAGGTGAGGATAAACCTCAGAAAGCTGGCATAGATTCATCGCAGAGCATATACATAAACTGCAAAGAGTGGATTCTGTATGTTTTCTGCTACTCTTTTTAGACATAGCACTATCTTTCAGCTTGATACTCAACATGGAAACAGTTCTGGGCTAACCAAACACAATATGCCATTTCCTTATTTAGAGCCCAGAAGTTTTCTGTTTATCTACCTTTGCACGCCACTTTCTCAACTGTCAGTTTCAATTATGAATTATCCAGCTCAACAAACAGTGCTGCCAACACAGGAATCTAAGCTTTATACCAAACTAGCAATCTTGGACCATCTCCATCATTTTAATCTTTGTTGCTATCTGGAAGGAGCAGAGTGTTAGCCAAACAGCTGTCTTGTGAAATGGCTGAACAGCCTCAAGATAAGGAGTATGTTCCAGCAGACAAGGTTGCCTTTTGTAAAAATCTATAGAATTCTCTTATCTCCTTTCAACAGGCTAAAAGGCAAGTCCGTGGTGTCATCCTGTACAGCTAGTAACTGCTTCTAAACACATACATTTTCACAGCTAAACAGGGAAAGCTAAAGCATTAACAAGGAGAAGACAAGATTCAGTGAGAATGATGGAGAAAGCTGTACAAGTGATAATTTCTGCTTATGTTTTTGCACAGCAAATGTAGGGAATGTCTCTTGTGTGGATCATTATTATTCATCAAAATACAGTGACAGCAGAGAAATCTCATCCACAGTTGGCAGAACAGGAGCAATATCTGTATTAATATGGACTCTATTATAGCCGTTTAATAAAGGAATCCAAATCCAAAAAATGGAACTCTATACACATCCAGATTTAAAACAAGTTGCCGCCCAACATATACCAATTCATCAAATTAAAAGAACACATAAGAAAGTAAACCTCCAAAATTTCCTAGACAGTATCTGAGGGGCCATGGGATACTTTAGATTCCCAGATTTGAGGGGAAAAACAAAGAATGAGGAGTAATTTGGAGATCCAGCCCCCTTCCCCCTTACAGTGACACACACAGGACCATGCTGGCTACTCTGAGGACAGGAAATTAACCTCAGAGAAGAAAAGGAGGCGTTTCAGTGAGTTCGGTGTAAGAGTTGCTGAATTACAAGTGCATTTGTGTACATACTTGTATATACAGAATGTAGACCAATCAACCCTACAAACTTGTATTACCACAGTGCCACAAACATAATGGCAGAATAACGTAGCACCATGATGTTCGTTCCTTTAATGAAACTTATATACTCATGCTATGACATGTAGTTATTTGAGACTCCAGGTGATTTCAGTGAACATGCTTTTACTTAACTCCATCTCTTTTGTAACAATAATGTTACACTGATGCAAGGAGCAAGAGGACCCAAAATTGTGACTCAACCCTGTTTGTTCCCCAACACTATCCATTCTGCTCAGTATTCCTTTTTGCTCAGGTGGTGTCCTGCTACTTCAAGAGTACTGCCGAGGAATCATTTTGCAGTGTATCATTGTATATTGTCATTAAAAAGGGTTGCTAGCAGGTATAACTAGCAGATAAGATCACTTTTTATGACACTTAATTTCAGAGAGGATTGATTATGTATGACACTCTACATAAAAATTAGGCCTTTGATTTTCTCTGTAATACATGCTGTAGAGTGTGGAAATCACTTCCTGTTCACCTGCCTTATTTTTATATGCTTTTCAGCATAACCTCACCTAGTTATTCAAACAACTTACTTGGCCTCCTCTGTCTCTCTTTATATAGGTGCATAAGGGTGCAATCCTATTGCAATGAACAAAGGCCTCTGAACTTGGAGGCTTAGTTTCATCTTGTGCAGATTGGGAGCAGTGGTGAGGATGACCCTCCCACACTGCTAGATTTTTTTTTTTTGGCCTGTCTAGCAACATCATTTCAAGGGGGGCAGGGAAGGAAGCTGGACTACTCTCAGGATAACTTGTGCTTGGCCTCCCCTGCCTGCTTCCTTCTCCTGGCTGATGACCAAGACCAGAGTTGCTTTCCCTTCAGTTCTACAGTTTCTGGGCAACTGGTGGTTGGAGCTGAGCCTTCTTTCGAGTGACATGGGGCAGGGGCAAAGACAACCTCTCTGCAGCTGCTTATTTCTTGGCCAATGGATAAGGCTAGTTGGTCTCCAACTTACCACAATAATGTTCTTTCTGGGAGGCGGCAACCATTGGTCTCAACCAATTTGTTTATAACTCTAGCAGTGTTCAACAAATGTGTTTCTACTGGTATTAACATCCAAGTAAATGATCAATTTCAAGTACATAATTGAACTCAAACCTCTGCATGTATGGTACTGGAGATTTTGTTGTCTGAGAATTATTCACATGTCTTCCTCTAGCTGCAATCAACATTATCCTTCTAGCTCCCCACTCCTCCTTCAGTTGCACAGAAGCCAGTGACAAAGTGAGGTTTCCATAAAAGAAAGAGCAGCTTGTTATAACACACACGAGAGACTCAGGGAGAGGGACAAGTAATGTGCAAGTCTTGAGGCACATTTATGAAAGCCAACCCATGAGAGCCAACCCATTCTAGTCCATGTATAGTAACACAGGAACAGAGAACGCTCCCTTTATACTGACTCAAACTATTAAACTGTTAATCCATTAGGCCAGTATTACCATCAGTGAATGACAGCAGCTCTCTAGGGTTTCAGCCAGGCCATTTTCCTAGCCCCACCTGGAGATGCCAAGGACTGAAAAGGGGACATTCGCCATGCAAAGAGGCATGGCAAGTTCTATCACTTGTCTGTGATATATTTGAGATACTAAGAAGCCTAACTAACTTAGTGCAAAGAAAA